AAGAAATACAAGACAAGCCTCTTTTTTTGGTCGAAACAAGACACGCCTCTATGCAAGCAAAAGGCGTGGATGGATATTGAAACCTCGCAAATAATAAAAATAAATAAAGACATCTTTTCAGCCAAGTTTTTTATCTGATCCTTTGAGGTTAAGATTGAACCATTTCTTTTTGCCTGACTTGTCCTTCCCGTCAGAGCCTCCATCTTCCCCTGGGCTCTCTGCATTTGAATCTTCGCCAGGATTTTTGCTACTGCTACCATTACTCAAACCGCTACCACCCACACTATTATTGATTGTCTTGGTGATAGTGAAAGAAGAATGGATACTGTCTCTCTGTTTCAGCAGCTCATCCACCTGATTTGTAGAATGATAAATGCCCAAATTAAAAAATTAAATACATAAATACAGAAAAGAAAGGAAAGAAAAGGGATACTTTAGATATGATAATGAATCTACAATCATGTAACAGCCTTCCATTGCTTAAAACATAAGAGGGATGAACTTTGAACCTAGTGTCTGAGTAAGTCCCTCAACTTCAATTTTCAGAAAAATGATCAGTAACCAAAACTTACAGATTGCTTTTCCTGGGTGTATCTGTTGGTCACTTCTTGAAAGCGCGCCAATGCCTACATAACATTACAGGAAAATTGTAAAAACAAACATGATGAAATCTTATTACAAACCACAGCCAGGAAGATCCAGATCAATACCTTCCTGTACTCTGTTTCAAATTGGCGAAGCTCATTTCTCTTTCTTAAAATCTGACCCTCAATCTCTTTAAGCTTCTGCGTCGTATCCTCGTATGACTTTACACAAAGTGCCTCGATTGTATAGGTAGCAGTCTTAAAAAAATTATCTCCTGAACAAATCTCAGCGGAGGTTAGTTAACAGGATAAGCAACAATTTCATATTAAGGAGTTAGCCCCAGAAAGCAAAAGAATAAAGGGACCAAATCAAAGTTCAGACCATAAACAGCGAATATATGAGTGCCAGCTTTTAGTTCTGAGACCTCACAAGGTTGAAGACCTTCCAACCTCTTGAAAAAAGCAGCTTCAGGGTCCTTTGCCATTGCCAACTGCACCAGCACAAGGATACATAACCATTTTCAGCCATAAATAGGAATCTACTAAACCACTACCCTCAGTCCCATCCAGAAACAGTGGGGAACAAATTTTATGAAGAAAGAAAATTAATATCCTGCATACCGCATTCAAAGTTGAATCCATTCTATATACTTGAAAATGCAGAAAATACATCCCTGCAGATGTTGCTTTGCCCGTCTTCTCACTATCTTCCTGTACAGAGAGACAATAATGATCATATTTTCTGAACTCATCTACCAGTGTTACATGTTAAAATGTAACTGGTATTTGATGAACAAACACCAAATAATAATTGATACCTAATTTTATCATGAAAGGAAATAAAATAACACTCTACAGTGGATTACAACTTGCTAAAACAAAGCAATAAGAAAACATATAACAAATTAAAATAGATTATAAAGTATTGGAAGTTGAAACCAGTGCAGAGGTCTGAACTCCATAAAATGCATGTAAGAAGAATGCAGTGCGACACTTTTATAGACTATCTAACGCCAGAAGAACCAAAATTCAGTTTTAGCACTTATAAAAACACAGAATGCAGTGGTGTATTTTCTAAATATTCCTTTTTACTTTTGGTTTTTTAAAACATGGCTTCCTTGGTGACATATGCTGCATCTTGATAAAACATGGGAGAATATTTATGAAAAAAAATCATAAGCTGGTTACAAATCACTTTTCTTAAGAGGTTCAAAGAGGATTTGGTGAGCAATAGATGCCTTCCCATGTGTGGGCATGTGTATTCTCAACAAACTATAAAGCAGGCAAGGAGAAGCCTAATCATTGATGTTTAAATAACATCAGGCAAATTACTCCAACAGATTCCA